TTGTATCAGTGCCATTCAACATTGTATCTGCACTTTTATTTGTGCGTAATTTTGTTTAGGTTCTCATGTTTTTTTTTTTTTGTTTTGTATCTACCATGTGTGTAGGTTGTTTAGGTTGCTCTGCACGTTTGTATCTTGCTTCAGTTGAAAACATCAAAAACACGTTAATAAACCGACTTGTTAAGGCGCATGCAAAAGATTTTTTAGCCCCAGGCTCTTGAAGGTTGTTTATGTTCTGTACTCTTCCAGTTAATGTTTTTGTATTGTGTTGCGTGTTATTTTGTTTTGTTCTTAACATTTGAATTTTGTAGGATTTGTTTTGCTATTCATAATTTTATAATCTATTTTACAAATTTTCATACCGCAATATTATTTGTTATGTACTCTTTCAAAGCAAACATACGTTTAGTACCAGTGTGGATCTGTGCTACGTATGAGATTTAAATGTGAATAATTGCAAAATAAAAGATAAATTTTGAATCTTCTATGAAGTTTGTAAAGATTTTAAGACAAACGTTAAACGTTGAAAGAATCAAATTGTCTATTTAGTATATGAAAGGGTTAATAAGAAGTCGTTAACACTTCCTCGCTTCCTTCCTTTCAAAAGACAACGATTTCTTTTCGCCAAATTAATAAAAAATTTAACTAATGTAGTTAAAAAATTTCACAAAGTAAAATAAGATTTAATAATATTTTCAACTTGTTAAATAAACATACATTACTTATTTTATGATTGCATTTTTAATGACTCTTCTCCCAGAAGACCGAAAAGAGTCGTATATATATGCAGTTTAATACAAAAATCAAAACAAATAACTTTTACTATATTTTATTTAATTATTTATTAATCATTTATTTATAATTTATTTCCATTATTTATTTATAACATTATATATTTATAATAATATTTATTTATTCATTACTATTTTTATACTAAATTTTTATTGATTTAATAACTATTTATTAATTATTTATTTTAACATGATTCAAATCATACAAAATCTACTTACCAGATCTATAGTGTCTTTAAAAATAAAAAAAATTCTTTGAAAATGGCTATCTTTTCTACTTTCATATCTATTTTTGGTACATTTCTTTGTATTATTCTGGGTATATAGGATGAGTTTACCATGGCAGACGCTTTGCTCCCTGACATTCACTTCTTAGATATTGCAACAGCTAAAGTGGCAATAAAACAAAAATATTTAAACATAGCCAATCTACACTGGGCTGACGAATTCAGCTGTCAAATCTCTAAGTTGACTTTGTCTATTTGCACATTAAACATACCAGTCAGCTACTTCAACTAAAACAGGAACCTGCTCAGCACTGACAAGGCACTGCATATTAGGAAGGCATGCTATAAGAATAGTTTATCCCTATAATGACCTTTGTCGCGACTTTGGCTCTGAGGACGTGGAGGCAACAGTTTTTTTTCTCATGCGACAGTGTACATCTTTAACTAGTAGAAGATCAAAAATCTTGGAGTCCCCTTTTCTTTACCGATCTAACTGAGCTGTCATCCTGCAATGTAAGAAACTTAGCCAGATTTATATAATTGTTAGGTTAGTTTCCCTTTATCAGCGTTGGTTGTATATTGACCTTCTAGTCTATGTATGAACCAACGCTATTTCTGTGTTACCACAACACGCCATTATTTGAGCTCAAGTGAGCTTTCTTGGTGCACAAGGGCACAATTATTACCTAACCTAATCTCTGGGGTTATGATTAGTTTCTTGTCAATTTATATGTCATTCAGTATAATAAAAATATTACTAACACTGTATTTTTACTTACCGGATCTTTGCAAACTACAAATATAAGAAATTTCTTTTGTAGCTGGCGATCCTAACATGATTTTTTTTATATTTTTTAATATTGTTTTGGGGTTATAATTAGTTTTCCTTGCAATTTATGTGTTATTAAGAATAATTAATATATTGTATTTTTACTTTATGCAGATATCATATCTTCAAAGAAATATTTTTGAAACTGGTGATTCTGACAAGACTTATTTTTTTTTATCATTTCTTTAAATTGTGCTGAGGTTATGATTAAATTTTTACAAATTAATATATATAGTTTAGAATAATGCAAATATTATTAACATTGTATTAGCGCTCTAATTAGGAGCATTGTTTAATTGTTTAATCGCACTAAATGACTAACTTATTAACTGTTATATATTCGTTAGCATAAAATGTTGTCAATTATTTGAAATAAACAAAAAAATCACACATTCACATTGAAGTCACCCAATCAAGACTAATATTTAATAACGAAAATTCCAGGAGTTTTCTCTCTAATTACTCTAATTTTCACGTTGGCTGATCCTGACTTTAAATATCAAACCTTCTATATTTTTTTTTTATTTATTTAATATATTTGTATGACATGCTAGACATGAATTGTGGTTTATAACAATTTTCATGTTTTATTTTTTTTATTATTTTTTGTGAAATAAAAACCGCAATTACCTGTAAAAATAAATTTCATACTAAGTTGAATCTACAACAGAAAAAAAATTTTTTTATACGAGCTTATAATAGAAGCTACAGGCAGGCAAGCTCATAAAAACAAATGATGAATGCACATACACATGCAATCCAAAGAAAAACACACACATATCCTTACACAAAACAAACTTTAACTCATAATATACAAATAAAAATGGTGGAAAGGGTAACAAAATGGCGGCTCTGAAAGCAGAGTGACTATTTTTGTGCATGACACTAAACCAAACAAATGTTGAAATGACATTTGGTTACAAAAACAAAACACAACAACGACAACAACAACAATGCCCGCCTGTGTTATTGACCAACAAAAACAATAAGAATAGCAAAGAGTATGCAATTTTCACTTAGTGTTGGAAAATGTTCATTTGTATTTGTGCACGCGGGACATTTAATGTGCAAAGTGCACTCTTTGTTGTGGTATGTATGCATGTTTAACACTGGCGACAGTTGCAACAACAACAACAACAACAGCAACAAAGAAAAGTTGCAGTATTTGTTGTCTTGAATTAAAAGTGATGAATGTGAGTAAGTCAAAGTGAAAGAACTTTGTGGAATTTCTGTAACAAGCGCATCTGAGTAAGTGGCAGCCAGCAACATTTGTTCTATATTAAGACAATTGAAGAATTAAAAAAAAGAAAAAAATTTAAGTTTATAGTAGATAAAATAGGTTAAAATATACAATAAAAAATTTACTTCAAGTTTTTAAAAACGTCAATACCGTTCTACAAATAGTTTAAAATTTTTTAGCTGTATTTTTAAATTTCTACTATTTATTATTAAAACTACTATTTTGTTATGAATATGCTTACATAGCTATCTATACAAAAAGCAACATATTAATTCTTAATAGGCGCCAGTTCTGAGATTTATTACAGAGCAACACTGTTTTGAAGAACGTTACAAGACACATAAAACATGAAAACCGTGACCAAATTGAAATCGATATTTCTCTCTCTCACACATTCTAATTTTTTTAATTAACATTAAAAACAATCATAATTTCAAATTTGATGTGACCATGACTCTATGTATAACATTGCCCTCACAATCAATATGTTATCTCTACGAGCCGATAGTCAAAGTACTGGCTAAGATCATCAAAACCAAGTTCAATAAAGCACTAAAAATACAAAAAAGATGAAATAAATAAAAAAACTGTCTGTTAAAAAATGTTTTTGAATTAAAGCAGCAATGATTTCTTTTGCCTTGTAAATTCTTGCAGGTTAAAAATTTTCCTTTGATGGATATAATTTTATAGCAGACCATATAATTAAGGCTGAAAAATTTGACCATGAAACTCTATACATATTAATTATTATCTTAAATTATTTAAGCATCTCTTAAAATAATACTCCATAATGGTACAGTTCTTACTGTTTTCTGTTCACATACAAAACAGAAATTTTGAAGTATTATTATAAGTGCAATACTAGTACCAATACAATAACATAAAAATTGCAAAAAAAAAAATAATATAATATTTATTCAATCAAAGAAATATAGTTAAAGGCATAAGTAAATGAAAATGAACTCAAGGTTGTATTTTCATAGCATTCAGTATTGCTTTTACTTTGTGGTGCCGCGCTCATCATGCATTCACTCCTTTTCACACTAATAAAGCTGAAGTATGGACAACAACATACGCAATGCAGTACCCAAAGCCAGTGTTTATTATAAAAAGCCTTCAACAAAGTAACAATGACATGCGCTAAGGCAAAACGAGACTCGCAGTTATTGCGCTGCAATAACGACATAGTGTTGCAAACATAACAAAAGTGTTGCAAAAGTTTTTCTCATTTTTATGAGCAAAAGTAAAAGATTTCATTTCTTTGAATAGTTTTTGTTTTCAGTTTCATTGTATAAAGTGTGGAAAATTAAATTTCCCCTAATATTTGCTTATGCATACAAAAGAAAACTCAACACACACACACACACACAGAAACGCACATGTGCTATTTAAGTGAAATGAACACTTAAAACTTTTCTTCATTTTTATTGAAATGATTATTTTCTTTGGATTTCTTTTAGTTGTTTTTTTTTTCTTTAGATTGTTTTGTTTTTTGCAGTTTTTTTTATATATATGTTGCTTTTACTTCCATTGACTTCCTTTTCAGCTAAACTCTGATTGTCTCTGAAGTCGAATCAACCTCAGTAACGGCAAAAGCGTATTTTATTTTAATAATGGCCTCCATTTTTATTTTATCCTCACGCTCTTTCGCTTTGTATACGTAATTGAATAACATAAACAATAAAATTGAAAACAAAGTTTGTTTTTATATCATTTTCGTGCTGCCAGTGTTGGTAGTGTTGTTAGTGCTGCCAATTGTTTGCATTTACACAATGACTTTTTATTTCTTAGCTCACTGTGTTCAGATGAAGAAGTTTTTCACTATAAGTTGGCCATGCAATTTTTTTTCGAAGAACAAAAATGATATATACATATATAAAAAAAAATTTCTTACAAAATATCAGTCTATTGTTTGTATTGAAGTAGTAAATCCAAAGAACTTTTTCTGCTTGTATTTAATTCAACTTATTCAGTGAAATATTTCGTGTGATTGCATAAAATTGTAAAATGAATTTCATTCCAAACAATGATGATCTTTTCATCCATTTTGGTCAACTTCAATTGTTTTCGCTTATGGGGCGAGTTCAAGTAAGTACTTAATTAAGCACTTTTTTGTTTTGGAAAATAAATTTAATTAATAAAATTAATGATTTTTATTATGTATATGTTCATCATGTATGCGCTAACAGTTTGACTAGTTTATTATGTTAAATAATGAAATTAAAAAATTTCTCATTTGTGTCTTAAAATTAGAAAAGAATAGATGATTTTTTGACAGCTATAAAGTAAAAAAATTTTATGTACCAACAGTGATATGAATTTTTTTTAATAAAAATTTAGTGTAACATTTTATTTTATTTCATTTATCGTTTTCTTTTAGTAACTATTGTCTTTTTCTTTTCTTTTATTTATTTTGTTTTATTTGTACAGTTTTTTTTTTTTATAATAACTTATATTATTTGAGGTTATGGAAGGTATAACTTTATATATTAACTTTTATTATAACTTTCTTTATTCCATTTTGTTTTCCATTTCTATCTTTTTAGTTTGCTTACATTAAAAAGTATATAAATATGAAAATATATTTTAAATTTAATGATTTTTTTATAAAGATTTGAGGCTTAATCAATTTTAACACCTATTTTATATATTTTTTAATTTTTCTATTTTATTTGAAAATTTCTATTTATTTTTATTTTTAAGATTTTTTTGTTATTTTTTCTGTAGTTTGACTTACATTAAATATGTTATAAATGGAAATATTTTATCACGCATCGCGTATATGTTAGAAGAGTTAGAATAGAAATAAAAAGGCAACCACAAACATTTTGGTTAATTTATTGAAATTTGGGTGACCATATAACGCTATTACGAGTAGTAGGAGTAGTTGATCATCATCTGTGGTCTTAGGAAACAATTGAGTTTTTTAATTAATTTATTATTATTATTGTTAAGGAATGTGGTACTGCGACCATCGTGTATATTGTGCCCCCTTCTGGGTATAGAGTAGGTCTTTAAGCCCTGTTGCGTCAATAAAAAATAGTATAGAACCCAGAAGCTTATTTCGTTATTTCGTGCATTAGCGCAGGGCATTCTAACAGCACATGTGTGGCCGACTCCTCATTCTCTTCATGGAAACTACAGTTTGCATACGTATATATATTTAGTTTTGTAAGGTCGTGTTTTAGTCTAAAGTGCCCTGTTAGGATTCATGTGATGATTCTAAGTTTTTCTTTTGATAGGTTTATACAATCATGGTATCTCTTAACAGCACATGTGTGACCGACTCCTCATACTCTTCACAGAAACAGTTTACATCCGTAAATATATACAGTTTTTTTAGGTAGTGTTTTAGTCTACAGTGCGCTGTTAGCATTCCTGTGACACTTCTAAGTTTTTCTTGTGATAGGTTCATACAATCCTGGTATCTCAATAAGTGATTTGTATGGTTCTAATCCTGGTATATTATACCAGTATATTATACCACTTTTTATTCTGGTTTTCCTTTAATTAATTTATAGTCCGTATATAATTTGTTTGAATTGCAAGTGTCAAGTTTAGAACTCGTGCCTGTTAAATTAGAAGCAATGACTTTTGGTTTTTTTGAAGCCAAATGTTTTTGAAAATTCTTTAACTTGTACTTTTTTAATATTGTTATTATAGATTGTTATTTTATTTTTTTTTTGTTTTGTATATTTTTTTATTTTCTATTAGTAAATACTAATTTAAATTAAATGGTTTCCTAAAGTACTTTCTCTTAAAAGAGTCTTGAAATTATTTGTTTCCATTGTTACACATTTTAATTTTCCACAACAGTCTTATTCTTTAAATTATGACAAAGAACACAAAAATTTTTCTTTTTTTTACATTCTAACGAAGTCTACATAAGCTTTTAACATTAAAATTATTTATTGACATGTTTTACAGCACTTAACAGGCATAAAAACCAATACAAAATGCCAAAATACCGAATAAAGTCGCTTTAATTAGCACAATGCAATGCAATTTTAACAACAAATACTTCCGATCACAAACACACCATTTAAACACGTAATAAACACACATGCACACACATATACACATATATGCTTACAATTATCAGAAGGAGGAACGCAGCAGCTATAAATACACTTAAGTATAGGCTTTGGTAGAGTCAGTTAACTTAACCACAAAAAGTAGTTAAATTCGCGTAATGAACTTGTTACAAGCTAAGCACAAGCTTGTGCTCAACACACACTAGACAACTGCCAATACAAGCAAGCAATTCCAATGACTCCACTACCACTACCACCACCACCGCCGCCACCAACTCTCACTGTTGGCAGCTACATACACATTTTCTTTGGCATATTGTTACAGGGCATAGGACGACGGTACTAAGGCAACGAAATTCAAATGAACTACGGCAACAAGCAACTTCAACTAAAACAGCCACTTAAAGTCTTCTTCGCAACACGTTTAAAGCACCACACATGTGTATAAAGTAAATACTTATATGTGTGTATATATGCATACCATACATGTGTGTGTATTTATAATGTTTGCCAACAGTTTATACAATTTTATTTGCTGATTTGTTTGTGTTTTGTTTGTATTGTGTTGTGTTGTATTGCGTTGCGTTGTGTTGTGTTGTGTGTAAACAATAGTTCATTTATTTTTGCACACAAACAGCCGCAAAGGCGCTTAATATGTGTCTACTTTCGTGTAGATTTTAGTGTTGATGCTAGAAAAACTTAATTTGCTGGAAAATGGAAATCATGTGGGAAATCAAATGCATTCGAAATAAAAACTAAAAACTGTATTAAAATTAAAATATGTTTTTTTTCTCCTTTACTCTTTGCAAAGCTTAAGTAAGCATATAAATTAAGAAATAAAAAATTTAAATAAAAACTGTAAGCAAAGCTTTGAAGTCTTGTTGAAGCCAAAATATTTGTATTTTATTCTCTTTTTTCTTATTTTAATTTCATCTAAAATAACATATTTTTGTCTATGGAGTGTTGTTTCTTATTTGCTTCAAGCTTAAAATTTTTTGTTTTTTTCTATTTGTTAAAAATTTGCAAAAAATCAAAAGGTGTTCCCCTGTGACCCAACACATTTTTCTAGCCTAGCAAATTTAGTGAAAAAAGGACTAACAAAAAGGTCCGTTGTGTGCAACTCTGTTTGCTCCACAAATTTGTTGCTTTTTATGTATTTTTATGTATTTTTCTTTAATTTTCGTTTATAATTTTTTTTATTTTATTGTTCACTTTTATGTGCACTAAATTGTGCTATTTAGTCTATCGCTAGACGTCTTTATATTTTTAGAAGTTGTAAAAAGTGTTCCAAACAAAGTCCATGTTACTTTTATTTACTTACTTGACTAACCCATTAAATGGAAATTTATTTTATACTTTTCGGTTTTATGAGTTAACAGTGAAAGCTCGATATTTAGAAATCGCTACGCCACCAAAACATAAAAATATGGAATAGTAAAATGAATTGAATTTCTTTTAAAAATTTAGAAAAAAAATTCTTTAAAAAAGAAATTTAAAAAAAAAGAAATTTTAAAGAAAAAAAAATTTTAAAGAAATTTAATAAAAAAATTCAATGGAAAAAAAATGAAATACAAAGGAGTAATTAAATAGACATCTTGATCTCGTGGTATACATATTACATTCGTTTTCCATTGACAGAGATTTTCTTTTAGTATAATTTTCATTTATCGGTTATTTTATCTTAGGCAAAATGTACATTGTAAATATTTTGCCATATTAATATAATTACCTTGCAAATAACAGCTGTTTTATGTCCTTGTTTCAACAACATTTGGGGATAACCCAATCATGTCAGCTTGAGAACAAAAGTAGATTTGCTCATAAGTAAACATCTTCAGTTAAATTGCAAATATTAACGTAAACTTTCAAGTAATAAGTATTGACCACCTAAACATTTGTTTTTAAAGCTAGTGTAATGGCTAATGAAATCTGTAATATTTTTTATAAACAACTTTACAGTAAAATATTTCACATAAGTTACTTTAACCAAATATTTACTACTATTTTACTTACTCCCATTTACTAATATTTATTTTATATTTATTAAAATCATCTTAGTTGAAAGACAGTCAAATTTTTATTGCAATCAACCTCTCCTAATGCCACTACGTAGACTTGCAATAACAGTCCGATTGAATCTTAAGACAGTTCGAAAGTTGATATATATTTCATTGACCAAATATTTAATATTTTATGACCTGACTTTATTTATGTGTTTCAAATACATGACTACTTCACAAAAAATTTAAAAAAAAATTAATTTACAACAATACTGCCCATCTTATGCCGGTACTCAGATTTGTATTAACAGTCCTCTTCAGTCGTTTATTTTGGTATAGGCAAGTGTTCACGTTTCCATCTTTTAATTGATTTTAATGCATTTAATAATATATTATTAAATTTTATTTTAGTTTTTTTTTTTTGAATATAAGTTGTAATTGAACGTCAAATTTTTTAGACGGACTTATGTGACTTATATATACTTAATAGAAACTTAATATATTTCATAAAGAGGTTTTTCGAATAGTAGTGACTATTATTTTTAATGGAAACTTATTATATTTTACAAAGAGATTTTTCAAATAGTAGTGAAAGTACAACAACAAATATTCATTTTATATTATTTTAATTAATAGGCGCTCAAGTATTGTCAAATACTCAACATCAGTGGTCTTGAAAATAATTCTTGTATTTAATTATTCATAAATAATTTTTATATTTCTTTATTTTTTTTTATTTATTTCCTTTTATTCCTCTTTTATTTTCTCTTTTTTTAAATATCAAGTTTTTGGTCTAAGTTAATCAATTAATCGATAAGATATTCTACTAGTTCAATATGAAGTTTAGCCCATGCTTTAATATTATCTTTCTCGGTGTTGACTGAGTTATCGAATTATTACTGTGCCATTTTTTTTTCGCTTGACTTGCGCTACCATTAATGCTCAACATTTGTGCCATTTTCTCTCGTTAAGTTTTGAAACAAAAACGGATAAGAAAACAAAAAAAAAACCTAGAAATGGAAACTGTGCCTAGCCGCTAACGTCAAACCTCTTT